GAGCTCATGTGGGGACTTGGCCCTTTATTTATCGGACTCCGAGTCAGGCGTGCCAATGACCACCACCAGGCTGCTCACGGCTTTAATCGGCTTCCTTCCTGTTGTGTTGGGTCCAGCTGAGACAGCAGACAGGGGGACACTCATCTGGCCGGGGTTGAAACCACACGGGGCTGCAGCTTCAGGGCCGGGCCCAGGATGCAGAGAGCGTCTCATGAAAGCTGCCGGACCTTCTGCAATCCCGGCCATCGGCAGAGCAGCAGCAACCCCCCTCCCAGAACAGCTCCCTCGTGGCAAGCACCTTGGGCCACGTTTCCCTGAGTCCCTTGGGTATCTGGCACCAGGTGATACCACCACAAGGATTCGTTGGCCCCTCTGGGCAATTCACGTCTTTGGCCTGGGTGCCTGCGTGAACCTGGCTGGCGATGTAGACCCCTTGGCACGGTTTGTCGGCACCCATCGTTGGACCTAGGTAACAGCCGGCTGTTGACACCAGAGATCCAAAAGCTACGGGATGGTTTATTTACTCAAAGACACAGGATCAGCCCCGGGAAAAGTCCAAGCCACACCTCATGTGTATTGATGGCTCAGTCCCAGCCTGGACTTCTATAAACTCAGATACCTTAACGCATAAATTCCTCCAGCAGCCTGACCTGAGGGCACAGGCATTCAGCAATGTCTTCTTTTAGGAGGGGGAAACTGAGGCACAGAGGTGTTAGTCTGTACAAGGTTAAGCATCTCATTGGAGGAGGGTCCAAGCTATCAGCTCCTGAACCTTAGCTCTGTCATTATCAGGACGAGAGAGAGAGAGAGAGAGAGAGAGAGAGAGACGATGGAATGCCTCCAAAGGAGGGTATGGTGTCTCTCGGGAAACCAAACTGTTGCCTGCTCCCTTCCAGGGACCCCATACCTAGACTTTGAGCCATTTCCAACCCTGCTAGTTGTACATACTCGATAACAATGTAACTGAATCTTGTGCATAGGCACACACATGAAGTCTACCTCCTGCCAGGATGCTGAATCCCCAGACACAGCCTGTTCTACAGCCGTTTGTAAATTCACCCCTGCACGCCAGGTTCCAGCACCGGCGTGGGATTCGGAAGTCTCCTTTGGGCGGGCTGTAGTGTCTCGCTGACTAGCTTCCTCAATTCATCAGCGACATACAATCTCACGCGTATCCACTTTAAATGAGCCCACGGCACCCTTTCACCTGTTTGTAATGTACCGATGCCGACTAAGGGGCAGGCATGAACCAAACGCTGGGGGCACCACCGTCCTCAGCCCAGCCCTGCTCCTATGGGGGCACTGACTGGAAACACAGACACATAGGAGAGACGGTTTGGGAGCACCGCCTTCGCGAGGTCACGGCAGGTTCCGCTTGTTTTTGTGTGAGAGGTGCCCAGATGAATTCTTCCTGAGACGTGGCTGCCCAAGAAGAACGTGGACTCTCTTATCAACAAGCCTCCCGGATGCCACTTTACAAAAGCAGTGCCCGCAGTGGTTTTGCTGTGGGGAATCACACTGAGATACTTAAAGGACGGTGTTTTGTTTTGTTTCAAGCCTTAGTTTTCTGCAGCCAGGAATCTGGGAAGGATCAGGGGGCTCGGGCGGTGGGAGCAGGGAAGGAGGGAGAGTCACCGGGCACGGACGGACGCAGAAAGCTCTACACTCAAGCTACGTACGCAGGAGCCAAGTCAAAACACCCGACTATTTCAGATCTACGTCCCTACAAGTTTCTATGTCAAAATTAATTTTAAAAATCCCAACAACACCCTCACTATTTGGGAACTGCAGGGGTGGGGACCAGTTCCTCTCCTCGGGCATATTCCGTAACGACAGGGGCTGTGATTAAGCGAAAGCAGGGGCGCAGGGAAGTGTGGGGGGACACAACAAAAGCCGCCATTGACGCCGCTGGGCGTTCCGTATGCCCCCGGAAAGGGGGAGAGGGTGATCGAGCGAGCGGAGGTGAGGGAAGGGCAGGATTCCTAGAGGCACGGACAGGGAGGATTGAGGCGGGCTGCCCACGGAGCGGAGGTGGAGCTGGAGTGGGGCAGGCGGGTGAGGCTGGGAAAGGCAAGCTGGGGCCAGGTCATGGAAGGCTCCACCCCCACGCACTGAAACTTGGCTTTATCCCAGAAGCAGTGGGGGATGCAATCAGAGGAGTATTTGATGCTGAGAAAGACCCCTCAGATCTGAGTTTTAGAGAGATGGCTTAGTTCCAGGGTGGAGGAACGGACAGAGGGGGAAGGCCCCAGGGACCCGACTCTTCTGGGGCGGGGTTCGGTGGGGTAGGGAACAAGAGGAATCTGAGCCTTACACGTGAGGAGGACTCACTCGGAACCAGGCTGAAGGGAAAAAATGCAGGTTCCAGCATAAGCCATTGGGAAGTGGGAATGCCATTAACCTCGTGAACCAAGATGGCGCGGCACAAGCTACACGGGGCTGGGAAAGGGCCAGCTAATTCCAGTTGCTCTGGGAAGACAGTGGCCATTTGCACAGGTCAAACCGGGGCCTGGGACTTCGGATCAGGAGAGAGGGTTCGGGTGGAGATACAGGTGTATGAGACCCTGGATGGGTTTACAGTCACAAGCTGGGCAGAGGAGTGACCCTAGAGCCCGAGCCTGCTGTCCTTAGAAAGGCCTGGGCACGGCCCTTCTTCCCCCACTGATGTAAAGCGTCTGCTAAGGGACAAGGGAGACAAGGGAGGGACTCTGTCCGAGGGCTTGTGCCAACACCGGCTATGAGGCCCTGCTTTCCCGAGGCCTGGAGTTGGTACGAGCAAGGAGCGGGGCCTCCACAGCTGTCGCCACTGAAAACCTGGGGTGCCGAGCCCCTGAAAGCTCCAGGCAGCCATTTCCCACCTGCGACCGCAACTCAGGGGGAGGGAATGAGTGGGCGGTCTGACCCTGTGGGGGCAAGGGCCTTGGAAGCCTTCCACGTTCCCCCTGAACTTCACGTGCCTTCTCCCTGTGCTGCCCGATGTCCTTTTGCTGCGTTAAGTCCTGGCTGTAAGTTCGCTTACATGCTGAGTCCGGGGGACCTGCCAGGGAATGCTCAAATCTGGGGTGGTCTCCCAACACCCCCCCAACCCCCCGCACAGACCACACTCACCGATCTTTCAAACAACCTAATAACATGCGTCCACGCCCAATGTGAGGGTCAGTGAACGAGAGGAAGCCCCTCAGCAGCTGCAACAATGGACCCCGTCCCAGGATGACGGTGCAAGACCGGCAGCATTTGGTCGTCCTGCGGTGCAGGGTGCTCCCTGTGAGCTGGCACCCACTCAGTGGTCAAACCACACCACCACCATCCAAGAGTCCATGCCCAACACCCTGGACCGGTGCTCGCCACGCGATGTTAAAGCACTAGAATTCGAATGTACACAGAGTTATAAATAAACCCGCTACTTATTGATTTAGTCTACTCATCAGTGAGATCTGTAAGCACAGGCACCCCACCTCTTCCATTCACTGTGGCCTCCCCGCACCTCACCCAGCACCTGCACGCGAGAGAAAGTTTTCAGTAAACATTTCATCAACGGAATTAAATCATTTAGGCTCCGACGTAAGAGATTTGCTTAATAAGCACCAACGAAGCTAGTCTGATGAACCAAAAAGCCCAGTGATTGCCCTTGGGTGGGCTCTCCAGATGACAGCTGAAGTCTCACGCCAGACTCGGCATCACGCAGTCAAACCAGAAAGCCGGGGCAGCCCGGGAAACACCCTTTCCCCTTACCGACTCGTCGTCTGGAAGCAGGAGTGTAAGCCGACCAGGAAGGGGTTGCTGGATGCCTGCTCAAACACGTGCTTCTCCGTCTGCACCCAGTCGATGTCCTGGAATAGAAACCGGGGGCGCTGATGAGGCTCCGCACTGCCTGGCAGCAACGCAGAACATACTGCACCTCTGCAGGTGGGAGGACAGTGAGAAGTGGGAAGGGCAGTGGTCATCAGGAAATGCACCAGTGCCTCGGTCACCGGGTCGACCACCAGCTTCATGACCATCGCCATTTCCGAGGCCATTATGCCTCATCACCACCATGACAGCCTCTCACCGGATCACCCAACTCCACTCCCATCACCACCGCCATATCCTTTCACGACCGTCACCCACCACCATCACACTCTACCCCAACTACCACCCAGCTGTCATCATCGCCATGTAATAGCACCCTCCATTATCGATCATCATTACACATCTCTGGGATTGCCCCCATCATCACGGTGATCGACCCTTACTACCAACACGGCAGCCACCAACTCCACCTATCACCCATCGCCATAATCACCCCCACCGGCACCATCATCTACCACTTCCACCACCACCCGCCACTCCAGCTGCAGCTGGACTGTGAGCTAATGGGCTCTCCACGGAGGGCTTCAGGGAATCCCCATGGCAGCCTTGGGAGGCTGGTACCACAACGTCCATTTCAGATGCGAGGAATGTGATCTTGGGAGGGTCAGCAGGCTCCCCAAAGGCCCTCAGCTAATGAGGGACAGGCAGGAATGCAAGCCTGCACCCGTGTCTGGAGCACGAATCCCAAGCCATGGGAGCCCTGGTGGCATAGGGGTTCCGCGTTGGGCTACAAACGGCAAGGCCAGCGGTTTGAAGTCACCAGAGAAGACGTGGCCTGCTCTTCCCTTAGAGAGGTCCAGTCTCAAAGACTCCCGGGCAGCACCCCGTCCTGCAGAGCCACTGTAGGTCGGCCGGCACAGATTCGATGGCAATGTGATGTTTGGACTGTTTGAGTTTCAGGCCATGGGGCTGCCACCCTCTCAGCCACGCTGCAAAGCAACAGTCGATTCTAAATCGGGATGTTTTTGTAACTCTTGTTGCCTTAGAAAGCAGAGCTCGGCCTGGCCCCTGAAACCTCTGAAGCGAACCCCTTCATTTTACAGGGGAGGAGAACAGGAGAGAAAAGGCTGTGTCTAAGTGAATGCTGCCTTCCCCCAAAGTGCTGGGAACCACGTGAGCGAGCGGACGTCTAGGGCGCACTAGACTGTCTGTGGGCTCGTTTCCCTGGGCTCCCCCACGTGCTGGAACCTAACGATAGAATGTACACAGAGCTCCTGACCACACCCTTCCCCTCTGTCCCCCTCAGGCTGCCACCGTCTGCCACAAACCAGCCTTGTTTCACTCTGGCTTCCAGGTGCCAAAGAGCAAGACTGAGCGTGCAGGAGAGGATGCTCCGTGTGGTAGTTATATCATCTGCTGTCAACTTGAGACCATTAGGAGTTGAAGGGGTGGAATTTAGCCTGCCAATCAGGTCACAGCTTGCTGACCTCATTTGGAGGTGCTAAGGAGATAAATAGCTCACTGGAGGTGGGGCACACACTCACTCCCTGCCAGACATTCCTGTTGACAAGTAATATGGAGCTATGCTGATAGAACCAGAGCCTTGGAGCTGGAGGAGCCACGTCAGCACTGAGATGCTTCCACCACCACTGCATCCACAAGACTTTCCACCTACTGGCCTGTGATCTTCCTGCACTCGGCTTCATTGCTTGTGTTGTGTGAGTCCGAAGAGGAATTTACAGATTGATACTGGACATATGGGCTAATATAAGACTTATGGACTTGATCTGGACTGGGCTGGGCTATTTTCTTCATGTACAATTACTCTTTATATAAAGTTCTCTCTTACACACACGAGTGCCTCTTTAGAGTTCTCTAGTCCACCCAGACTAACACACTCCGCGTCACCCTTCACGAGGGAGCCGCAGATCACCATCACAGTGAGATTCCACTGCAGATACCCCACTAGAGGGGCCACAGCACGAAACAGAGGGGGGCACGGGCCGACAGGGCCTGGAGAAACCAGAGGCCTTTTTGCATTGCTGGCGGGAACGTGAACGGCGCGGCCACTCCAGAGAGTGATTTGGCGGCTCCTCTCTGAGGTACCCGTCCACAAGACCGGAAGGCAGGGGGCTCAAGCAGCTATGTGCGCAGCCGTGCTCACTGCAGCCTGACCAGCCACAAGAGTCAAGAAGTGTAAGCAGTCCACGTGTCCGTCAGCAGAGGAAGGGATAAACACAGCATGGTCCATCCAGACAACAACGGGATGCTCTTCAGCCATGAGATGGCAAGACATACCGACACACGCCACGCTATGGAGGGACCTCGGAAACGCCATGCCGGGTGCAAGGAGACAGAGGCAAACGTCAGCCCGGTTAGTGCGTTTATGAAATGTCAAGGTTGGGTAAATGCACCGAGAAAGTAAGTGAGTGGTTTCCGAGGCCAGGCATCTATCCAGATGCCTCATTTCTCTCCCAGAGCAAGTGGCGGGTCTGAACCACCGACCCTGCGGTTAACAGCCCCGCGTGTCACCAACCACACCACCCAGCTCCATGAACGTGCTTGGTGCCGCTGCACTGTACGCGAAAACTAAAGTTCACGTGGTAGGTTTGATGCCGTGACTTCCCACAGCTATTGGAAAGGAAACAAGGGCATCCCGTCGGAATGAAGATGCCGACAAACACACAGGTGATGGTAAATTTCGACGTCAGGAAATGGGCCTGAGAAGTCTCTAACTCGGTAAAGTGACCCCAATCCCGGCGCTTCCACACGGTTATTTGTGAAGACAGCCGAGCCTGGTGTGGGTGCAAACAGGGACACCCCTCGGGGAGCTCTTCCTGCCTCACTCTACCCCCTCCAGCCCGAAGACGCCCCGAGGCACGCCACAGTGACAGCTGGCTGCGCCCACCCAGCTCCACTTTGACTGCAACGCAGACAAGCCCTCCTTTTAAGAGTGCCGCTCTCCCGAGCTGATCCACGCCACTGCAACCCCACGGGTCCGTGTGTCCACTGAGGCCTTGGGAGGGCTTCTCCGGGCGTGGGGACCCCCCCGGGGGGCGGCACTGACCTCGTCGTCGTGGACCAGCTCCTTCTTCACCACCTTCATGGCGTAGATCTGGTCGTTTTTTTTCAGCCGCACCAGGAGGACCTTGGCGTAGCTCCCGCGCCCGATGACTCTGATGAGGTCAAAGTCCTGCAGCCCGAGCCCCTGAGAGATTTTGATCCCGTCCATCCCATCGATCACCGGTTTAAGGTCCTACGGGCGACAGGGAGAGGGGGTGGGCCTCCTTGGAGCAGGAGGGAGGCCTGGTGCGTGCCGATGGAGCCCGACCCACAGGGCGCACAGCCCACAGCTCTCTTCACAAAGGGAGAGGGGAGGCGCGCGCGCCCACCCCCCCAACCCCCACCCCAGCCAGGGACTAAGGTCCGGGGGCTCCCGAGGGCAGTGCCCACCCATCTGCCAGCTCGCCATCCCCAGCTGGCTTGCCCCCGTCATTTCACACGCCGGCAGGGTCACCCATGGATGGGGCACAGGTGTCAGCTGAGCTTCAGACGAGGAAGCAAGGCCTGGCGAGATCTACTTCCGAGCGTCAGCCCGTGAAACCCTCTGCCTCACCGCAGAACGCAGGCCAGCGAGCTTGCCTGGCCAGGACCCCAGAGGCTCAACTGCGGGCAGAGGGCCAGCGTGGGCGAGGAAGATGGGGGTGGGGCTGACTGGCACAAGAGCCACCATGAAGGGCTGGGACAGCGACACAGGTTGGGCCGGAGTCACCTCAACAGGAGCTAACAGCGGCAGCAATAGCAGCAGAGAGAGTGTCGCTTCTCAAAGCAGCTGGAAGCCCCCAGCTACTCCTTGCTACAGGTGTGGGGCTGGTCACAGGTGGCACTCGGGAGGGGTGTGGGGCGCCCAGAGCTAAGGAGATTGGTCACAGGGCTCGGAGATGCCCAGCCATCTGGGCTGGGTCACGGAAAGGGAGCGCCTGAACCAGCCTTCCCAGCCTCGGGCGTCCCTTGGGGGGACTGATTACGCAACATAACCGGATGCTGTTCTGCAGAGATCAGCCACACCCCGGGCAAGTACTATTAGGGATCCATGATGAGAGGGAGGGGGCAGCGGTTCCCTCCGGCAAGTGGCAGGAAGCGCTGCGGTGAGGAGGGAGCTCAGAGCCGTTCCGTGGAACAGCCCGGATTCTCTGTTCCTGGTGCTGCAGACAGCGGGAGACACATCCAGGGCCCCAGAGGGGACATCTGCCAGTAGGTCTATTTCTTAAGGTTTTGTGGGGGGAAGAAAGTGAAAAACACCAGCCCGTGTGCGCCCGCCTGTCTTCCCCGCTGGAGAGGAGGGCAGGCAATCAGACGGCGCTGGTGTCCCCGGCGCCGGGACTGTGCTCGAGAGCCGGCCCCGAGGGCCCGCTCTGCTGGCCGGGTGGATGGCCAGACTGGGGGCTTTCAGACTCAGCATCAAGGCGGTGCCGGGGACTGGATTTCCCAAGCTGCCTTTGGGGACAGCAGCCTCTGGGGGGACTCATACAGGCTGGGCCACGGCAGGACCCCCGCTGACGGCACAGGAGCTTGGAGGAAGGTATTCCCTGGTCTGACAGCCAAGGGCCCGAGGCAAGGAGCGGCGGCCCGTCCGAGGTCCCGGCAAGGCCTGCGGTTGGGTGTGAGGATTCAGAGGCTCGGCTACGAGGCCTGTACCTCTGGAAGACTGGTGTCGTGGGCCCTGTGGCACCGAGACACACCGTGCGTGGCTCGTGTCTTGCCACGATCACGTCTCTGCCCGCCCATCCGTTCGGGATGACCTCTGTGTTACATACGAGGGAAACCTCAAGGGCTCCCCCTAAGACTGAGGGGGTCCTTCCGATGCCACGTCACCATTCCCGAACCCGTCAAGTCCGGCTTCAAGTTCCCCCACACTGCCCTGGCACGAGGGAGGGCGCTGAAACCACCCAGACACTTACCTCCGAATCATCCTTAATACTGTCGTGTTTCCGGGATGAAGGGATGTAGGCAACTAGTGGAGAGAGAGGGAAAGGGGCTGTCACAGACATCCCCGAGAAGATGGGCAGAGACCCCAGGGTGTCGTGTGGCCGTGCCCAGCCCTTCACAGGGATGTGGCAGGAGCCCAGGTCCTGCCAGCCGTACTCAGAGCAAGCCCACGGCCTCGGCCGGACTCATCCAACTTCAACTGGAGCCTGACAGAAAACGCAGGCTCCGGGCTACCACGCCTGGGGGCGGGGCCTGGGAAGCCGCAGTGAAAACACCTTTCCCCTGGGGGTTGCAGCTTGACGAATTCAAAGTGAACCCATCTTTAAGATTTCGGGCCACGTACTTCGTACACCTTCTTGGGAAAGGATCTCATGTTTGGTGTCGTGGGGGGTCTGTGATAAAGAGGAAGACCCTCCACCAGACGGGGTGATGCAGTGCCTGCAAAGATGGGCTCAAATGCAACAACAGGAGAGGTGGCCCCGAGGGCAGGGCTCGGCTCTGCTGCACACAAGGTCACTATGACTCAGAATTTGCTCGAGGGCATCTTACAACAACAACAACAACAGCAACAAGATTTTGGTGTCTAGCCTTCCACTCCTTTCTCCCTGAGAGCACCTGGATGGATGGAGAGATGGACAGACAGGCAGATGGACAGAGAGAGGGGAAACGGATGGGTGACTGTTTATTTAGAGTCTCCTTCCGGTGAGGTCCTGTGCCAAGTATCTTCTGTTGACCGATCTCCCTGAAGCCCTAACAGGCTCCCAGCGGGCCAGGGAGTCACCCTGATCAAAAAGGATAGCCGGGGCTTTCACACGTCATGGAGACATTTCAGAGTTGTGAAAGCTCGGATCTGGGTCATCGATCCACCTGGTGTTTGAAATCTGAGTGCTTATTTAAAAATACCCGCCCCCTCACCCCAACACAGGAGAACATGAGTAGCATGTGATTGGGACTCTGAAGAGTGGGGACCAGAGGTCTCAGGCACAGACATTGTTCTGGGCAGCAGGTGAAGGGTACCCTACGAGGGCTCTAGCACACTCTGCAAGCCTGTACAGAGGAGAGGACCCCTGTGGATGGGCCCTGGCTGCCCCAGGGAAGGCGGTCTGCCGGGGGTCTCCTGGGGGCAGGCCATTCCAATGAGGAAGGCCCTGGTGCACTGTCCCCAGCACATCGGTCCCTCCCTGGGTCACCCCACTCACGGAGGTCACAATGCAGCCACTCTAAGGGTTGCAGGCCCAGCCTCTCCCACAACCTCAGGACTCTCTGTATGAGCCCCAAACCAAACCCACGCCCCTCGAGTTGATGCCGACTCACGGCGGCCCTGTAGGCCAGAGCAGAACGGCCTGTCGGTTTTAGGACGGTGGCTCTTCACGGGAGCCGGCTTGAGGGCAGGGCTGGGAACACGGTCAGGAGGGAGAGGCCCACAAGTGGCCTCGGGCGGGCGAGGGGTGAGAAAGCAGCAGCCCTACTTCCACCAGTCTCCTCCGAGGGCAGGACCCCGTCGTCATTCTTGTCATCTACTGGAGGTTCTTGGGAAGGCATGACAGAATCCTGCGGGGAGACAGGCTGGTCAGAGCGTCCCACGGGCACAAGCCCAGGACTCCTGAACACTGCTGGGCAGCCGCAGCTCCCGCACTCACACCGTGTCTAGCCCCGCACTGCGCGGTCACCCCGCACCCCGCACGCCACACCCCAGGCTCTCCCGGTACCCATCCCAAGTAAACACATTGCTGTACCCACACCATAAAGCCACCCCACAACCGCAAACAGATCCCAAGTGTAACCACATCATTTCCATAACCCCAGGGTCCCCCCTGCACCCAGGCTGGGTCATCACACCGTCGGCATAACCTCCTAGGCCGCCACCGGACCCCCTTGCACACATCCTGTGGGACCACACCCTCTCTGGCCACGTTGTATGGTCACGCACTGCGTGTGTGAGGAAGGACACGGAGGTCACCTGTGGCACCAGGCAGATGCCCACCCCATCCCTTGGATGCTGGCCTCCTGGAAGGTGTTTTATAAAATGAGGTCTTTCACATACTGCTTGGCCTCTGCCCAGCTCTGGCTGCCGGTGTGTCTGGTCAGTAGCCCCAGCCTGGGCACACCCTGGGTGGCCCTACTCGCTGACCTCACAATGCAGCTCCACCCTTCCCACAACCCTAGGACTCTCTGTATAAACCTAAGGTGACCAGATTTTAACATTGGTAAAGCGGGACAAAAGCGGGACACCACTGATAAAGCTCATATCCTGGCGAAATAGCCACATGGCAGCCGAAAACCGTCTACCCTAGCTTGTCGTGCATTCTTTCCAAAAATCAGGACTTTTTAAAACGCCACAGGACGTGGGAAAAATTGTTAAAAATTGGGACTGTCCCGCCAAAAGCGGGACATCTGGTCATCCCAAACCCACTCCCATAGAGTTGAGGCCAACTCATGGTGACCCTACTGGCCAGAGCAAAACTGCCTCTGTCACTCTTTATGGGAGTAGAAAGCCTCATCTTTCTCCCACGGAGTGGCTGGTAGCTTCGAACTGCTCGCCTTGTGGTTAGCAGCCCAGTGCGTAGCCACGATGGCGCCAGGGCCCCTTTCAGGACTCCCTGTATGTGGAGGCTAAAGAGAACCAGGGGTCACACAGTGGGTCCAAGGCCACGCGTGTTAATTTGGCTTCAGGCATCCACAGCCAGAAGACCACCTGGAAGGGCTCGGCTGACCCCCGTGGCACCAGGGTGTGTCAGGGAGATGACTCTGCTCCCTGCACAATTGGAGGGGGGGCCCCCACCCCCCAGGAGGCTGCTCCTCACTGTGGGTGCAGACACAGCCTCCCTCCCCACACCACCACGACACCCATCACTGGCAACCCCAAACCTTGGCTGCCAGCCACACGCTGGAAGGCAGTGGGTTTATAGTAGAAATGCAACTGGCAAAGGGGGACCCAGGGAGGGCGTGGAAGGAGAGTCGCCACACTGCTGGGCAAGCAAACAGGGCCACCACGCTGAGAACGCACAGACCTGCTGTCTGACAACCCACACGCCCTGTGCGCTTTCACCAGGACCAGAGTGAAAAAGCGATTGTTTTGAACAAGGAAAGAAACCCCCACCCCCACCCCCATCTGCATCCTGGAGCCAGGCAGGCAGGGGGAAGCAGAGCGCTGGGCTGTGCCGACCACTGCAGACGCCTGGTGTGGGGCACATGTACAGGCAGCAGGGCAGAGCTCACTCAGGGCTGCCTCCTGACTGGGGCACTGCATGTGCTGGTCACCCCGCCTGCACCACAGGGTGCACTGGAGGCCCCCACAGGGCACTGGGGCTTGCCTCCACCCCCGTCACTTGGTCTCTAGCCCAGAGGTAGAGATCCTTGCTAGTCCCTGCAAGGATCCGGGGTAAGATGCGGGAAGTAAGGGTCAAAGGGCGGAAGGGGGGGCCTGGGTGGACCCCAGGCTTGAAGCAAGACTCCCTGCTTGACCCACTCCGGGAGGCATCCACACCTCTCCTGGCCAGAACTCCCCATCCAACCCACCTGCCTCTCCAGGCCTGCCCACCCCCCTCTCCCCCAGCCCCCGACTCACCATATGCTTTTCACAGGTCAGCGGGACGAGCACGTGGCAGCGTTTATGGACCAGGAGTTTGCAGTTGATACACTTGTAGCCTTGCCTTCCGAGACCCCATATCCTTTCGCTGCACTGGCCACAGTATGCTCTCTGGGGACAAGGAGGCCAGCGTCACGCCACGAACCCTACTGCCCGGGCCTCAAGTTCACTATGGACCCACTGACCACTTCTGGCTGCCGAATTTTTCCCAAAAGATGACAGCTGGGGTGGCAGCTCCCCCTCATCACCGGGGGCACCCCAGCCTAGGAGCCCCCTCTTGAGTCCATCAGGGAGCAGCGCTGGGGGCTGGGACCGTGCTGTGAGGGCAGAGAGGGGGCCCTGTGGGGCAGAGTCACGCGAGACCCTGCCTGGCCCCCTCCCAGTGGGAGGGAAGCTGCCTTCATGGATCTACCTGCCTGTCCATCTGTCCGCCAAGCAGCACAGGAAGATTCTCTGTCTGGATGGAAGGAAGTCTGGCTGAGCAGGATGTAGGGGAGGCCCTCACCTGACCACACCAGCACAGAGCGTCAGGAGAGAACAGTGGTGTTTGTCGGGCATTCTGATGAGCGATGGTTTTTCATGGCTGAAGGGCAGGACGCGCGTACACAGGGTTGATTAGTTTGCTCCCTCTGTTCCCTCTCTAGATCTAAAGTGATCAGTGTATTTTCTTCACCTGAGTCCGTTTGAAACCAGGGACGATGGTCACGTGCTGAGTGGGGCTTTCGGGCTTGTGAATCTTACACAGTGCACGGAGACGAGGGTCCTCGGACCGGTGGGCTGTTTGACCTGCATGCCCAGCATCCCCCCTTAATGTCGCCTTGCTGGCTGGAAGGGAAGAGGGCTTGAAGCCCTTACTGATGAAACGCCAGAGCTTCAGTATGGATCCCACCGCCACACAGAGAAAATACAAATCCTCACACCTGGGCCAGTAAGCAATAAGCAGAACACACGAAAACCGCATCGATGCTGCCATGGATTTCACGGCTACCGGATCCACGATCAAGGTCCGTGGGGAAGCAGCAGTCAAGGAATCCAAGAACCCACCACATGGGCCAATCTGCTGCCAAAGACCTCGACCACGTTAAAGGCAAAGTCACCACCTGGAAGGCGAGGGTGCGTCTTGGTCCTTTCCAATGGCCTTAGATGTATGCAGACACGAGATGAGAGACAGGAACCCCAAATCATGCACGATGCCTTGGGGTGACGGTGTGGGCCAAGAGTTATCAAGCGCCCACGCTCTGCCAGAAGAACAAACACATCGGTGTTGGCAGCAGTGCGGGCCCGCATGCTCCGTGGAAGCCAGACCCGCGAGACTTGATCTCGTGGACTTTGGGCCTGTTCTCAGAAGGGACCAGACCCAGGGGAAGGACATCACGGTTCGTAAGGCAGACCATCAAAAAAGAGGAAAGCCGTCATTTAGATGGACGACGCAGGGGCTGCGACCACAGAGTTAAACAGGAACAACGGGAGGCGGGGGCAGGCCGGGCAGGGCGTTGTCCGGCGCGCAGTCCCCGTGATCAGAGTAAGCTTGGTGGCATCTGACACGATGGAGGACAAACGGGAGGAAGAAGAAACAGGAACGGAGAATTGGGATCATGACAGTGGGGAGGAGGAAGCATCAAAGAACCTCAACTCTACCTTACAACTCTGTCTGGACCAGAGGATGTACACTGGTACAGGTAAGAGCTGGAAACACAGGGAATCCAGGACAGATAAACCCCTCAGGATCAAGAATGAGATTACCGGTACCAGGAGGGTAAGGGGAAGTGAGGGAGAAAGAGGAAACCGATCACAATGATCTACCTATAACCCCCTCCCTGGGGGACGGACAACAGAAAATTGGGTGAAGGGAGATGTCGGACAGTGTAAGATATGACAAAATAATAATTTATAAATTATCAAGGGTTAGCGAGGGAGGGAGGGGGGAAATGAGGAGCTGATACCAGGGGCTCAAGTAGGAAGACAATGTTTTGAGAACGGTGAGGGCAACACATGTACAAATGTGCCTGACACATGGATGGGTGAATGGAATGAGATAATTGTTGTATAAAATGATTTTTTTTTAAATCTCTTGAGATCAAGAGGGGAGCATTTACCCAAAGACGAAGTTCAGGAGGGTGTAGTGGAAAAGACAGACGAACGGAAGCAGGAAGCACAAGTGAACTGTAGGACAGAGGATGTTATATTGTGGGATTGCAATCAACGAGAGGAAACAAAATGGATCCTCAAATGGAGATCAGTCTGCTCTATAAACCTTTACCCAGTTCACAATAAAAAGTTAAGTTAAAAATAAAAGAAAGTGATTCAAAAAGTATTGTTCCCTGTGAAAAGAGCTGTATAACCCCCAATAAAATGATTAAAAAAGTATTGTTCCCGTTTGTCTATGCATGGGTTTATCACCCAACCAAAATCTGTTCACATATGCCTCTGTAAAGAGCTCTTAATAATACACTTGTCTTAGTCCCCCCGCCCTGACCCCCCAAAAATGTACCATCCAAACAGTGGCTTCTGAGGGGCTTGCCTGGCCCAGCTAAATCCAAGGCAGAGCAGGCAGCTCAGAAAGTGGTGACCGGTTTTTGAGATTCCCAAGGGGTCCTCTCGATAGCCTCTCTCAAAGCGGGCAGGAGCATCTCGGGGGCTTCGTATGACATAGCTTAAAAGACCCGAGCACTGTGTGGGTGGGCAGCAGGCCAGGGAGCTGTGCCTGGGCCCAGGACTTCTCTGGGATGCAGGGCACGTATCATCGGTCAGGGGTAGCGAGGGCTGGCCTACAAGCATTTCGCTGGGAAACCTTCCCCAGCCACCCTCCAGCCCTGCTCCCGACTGTGTGGGCTGCCCAGACTCGAGGCACGCTGGAAAGGAACAGGATCCGAGTGTCCAGGAACCGTATGGGCGTGGGGTACGTGAAAGACGGCAGGTTCTTGAGGGGAGCAGGGTCAGAGAGATGGAAACACTGCTTTCTGATGTGCACTGATGCAGCCGGACGGACCGACAGACGGTACGTGCCGTCATCAAACAACGGCTTCCCGTTCCGATACCTGTGCTTCATCCCGGCTTCCATGATTCCGTCAGCGATCCTTTTTGACTTACCTTCATGCGGCTGTGCTGTTGACTGGTCGGAATGGAATTCATTTACCCAAATTGACCAAACCCTCACAACGCAGAGCGCTGTGGCCCTCAGTGTGTGGTGCTTTGTGCCAGGGTCCTGGGGAGTCAGCAGGGTGAGCGGGAGAGGAGGCTGGGCCCGGGGCTCTGCCTGGGACAGGCATCTGTCTCTTCCCTGGGCGGGAAACGAGGAGTACTGGGTCCTGATGGCTCTGTGCCCCATCCACTAGGACCGTGGGCTGCCAGCCCCAATCTAGGGGCGCTTCTGCCCCTCCTTTGCCGAGATCACCTCCCCCAGGAAGCCCTCCAGGCTCCGGCACCACCTACACTTGCTCTTCTGAGCACTGCCTACCTGTTGAGGGCTGGATCTCAGGCTGTGCACACCCCTCAAGGTCACTCGGGAGCATGTCCTGGCCTCACCAACCTGTCTGTACCCGAGTCAGGGCACAGCAGACTGGCCAGCCCCGGAGGGTGGCTCTACCCCGAGACCCACCACGGGTGGCCCTATAGGAGAGCACAGTCTGTCTGCACGTGTCTGAGTCACGAAGCCTGGTGGCACCTGCCCTGGGGTGGGCCTGGGTGGGGAGTGGAGGGCTCAGGGCTCTGTGACAGGGACAGGCCGGTCCACTCACTTGCACGCACCCACTGGGTCACCCCTGCACTGTGAGCGTGGCCACTCCCAGGTGTCACATGCCTCCCCGCAAATCGGACACGGGATCATCGCCTCCTTTCCAGAAGACGTAGAAGCTCCCGAGAGGGGTGGAGACTGAGTGAGCGGCCGCAGATTGGGAGGGCGGCAGGGTGGAGGTGAGGGGGACAGGTCTGGGAAAAGGCTTCCAAGGACACAGACCCTGCCTGTCGCCAAGAACACGGGTGATGTGGGCAGCCCCCATGGGTGCAGCCAGTACAGGAGTTGGGGCGGTAGTAGTGCCCTGAAGAGGGGCTTCCGAAATGGAGCTACAGCTGCGATCACATGCCCCCCCCACTCTGGGAACAATGTGAGATGAAAAACCCCTGGACCAGGCTCCCATGTCCAGTGAAGCAAGCATTCCTGCCCTCCTGCCTGGAGACCCCTGCCCACCCTGGGCTGGCACGTGGGGAAGCGGGCCGTGGCTTGGGGAGGCCAGGTCTCCCCAGCTGTCTCCCTGGGCTGGTAAGAGGCCGACAAAGAGTGGCAGTAAGAGCCACGCTTGTGTCCCCATGGCACCACTCACCCTGTTAAAGCGCTTGGCTTGGAAGAGGTGGCCGTTGGCGCGGTACAGCTTCCTCCATCTTCTGGCTCCGCGGCGGTAGATGGACTCTGGGGAGGAGGGGAGAGGTGTAAAGGAAACACCGTGGCCACCAGGCCAGGCGTGCTGACGACAGGCCGGCCGTCCAGGCTGCTCACGGGGGTGGGGAGCCTCCGGGAGTCCAGGGCTGCAGGACAGCGCCCTTCTCTCCTCACACAACTCTTATCTCATCACTGAGCTGTGGCTCAGACAGGCAACCCAAGTGTGGGGACAGGGGCAGAGAGCCACAGCAGCCCTGGCTAGCCCAGCAAGAAGGACGGTATCCAGCCAGTGCGCTCCCAGCCCTGCCCGACTGCCTGTTTGTTTTGCTTTCCTCCTGGGCTGCTCCGGGAAAACCAGGGCCCTCTCCCACACAGGGACACTGTCCAACCGGCTGCAAGCTGGGCACTATGTACACAGGCCCATGCGTGCTGCCGAGGCCTTGGCCGGCTTAGCACAGCTGACCACACCGCTGCCCGGCTCTCGGGAAGAGGGAGAACTAGCCGGGACACCCCAAGTCATGCGGCACCAGAGACGTCCTCTCCACAACACGCACTCAGTAACCCTAGCTTGAAGGGGGTGGAGAATACCTCTGATTCAAAGCGCGGGCGCCACCCCAATGGACGGAGGGCGGGGAGAGGGGCTGGTGCTGCTCTCTCGCGCTGCCACGTGCGAGGGCTCCGTGTAGACAGACGCGTGTAAAAATAAAGTCCGTGGACACAGAATGCACAAAGGGGAGCTTTGTGCTCAGGCAGAGCTGCTGCCGTCGTGAAAGCCACTTTCATGGGCGCAGGGAAGGCCCGGCTGCCGTGAGCGCGCCGCCAGTATGGAAATTGTAACGAGATGTTTTTAGAGCAAGCACATCACCAGCGCGGGCTGGGACCTGCCCCAGAGCAGGCCGCAGCTCTTGGCGAGGAGAGAGGGACACCAAGCCCACGGGACCCTTCCAGAAGCAGAGCCCCGAGAGAGGGAGGGTGCGCTGCAGTCTGACCACCCCCCGCCCCCCAAATCCTAGCTCACACCTTTGAGTCGGAGTCCGGGGTCTGCAGGAGGGAGACACACTTCCCTGGGAAGGGCAGCAGATGCAGCGGCCTCCCCCGCCCCCAAAAGCAGCTCTGCCCAGGTGTTTCTCACTGCCCTGCTGGCTGAGTCCAGCACATGCTGGGCCCCCTCCTCCAGTGTCTGTAGACCTGCCTGCCCCACCCCTCACATGGCCCCCACACTCCTCCTAGCTTTCCCCCTCAAGCCCCTGCCTCACCATCTCTCATGTCCCCTCCACAACCCCGCCTGTCCCCTCACATGACCCCACACCTCCACCAGGCTCTTGCCTCATGTGACCGCACACCCACCTGGCTGGCCCCTCACGTGGTCCCACCCCCCTCACTTGCCTGGGCGGCCCCATGTGAGTGAGCCCTACTTGACCTCCCCGGAGGCTGGGGCTCCTGGCTGGGGCCCTCAGAGAGAGTGGCCTCCCAGGGCTGCTCTCTCTCTACCACACAGGAGGGAGGCTCCTCCTTGGGGAGCCCCCAAGGACCTGCATGCAATCACAGCTGGGCACCAGCCACAGGCGCCGCCAAGAAACAGTACCTGACTCTCTGGACTGGATGCTGGCAATTCTGCCCTCTGTGACTGCCTGACATGCTCATGGTCACCAGTGGTGCCACGGAGCCAGGTTCATGCTCTGCTGACCAGCATCCTCCCTGGGTCCCACCCCTGGGCTCGCACTCGGAAAAGCAGAACCCTCAACGCCTCTTCGCCTCCCCCGCAGCCACCCTCCTGGTGACCCCACGGCACCACCATCTGTCCTTTTCATTTAGCGTCCCCTCAGGGGCCCTCCAGAAAAAGGGACAAATGGGTTCCTCTCAGAGCTCACTTCCCAGCCCCACACTCACCATTGCCAGGGTCCCCGAGGGCTAAGCCCGAACTCGGTGCTTGTTTGCAAAGGCAGAGGCCGGACATGCGGTGGGCAGGTGGGTCTCAGGAGGGTGGAGGACACGCAGAAAGGACAAGGCTGGGTCTGACTGCTGGGCTCAGGGCTGCCGATCCCCTGCCTCCCTCCTGATCTGTGGTTCTGTCCACCCAGGGGCTATGGAGAACCCAGAGAGCCAGGGCCGGCCAAGCTGGGGCTCCAGGTGGCTAGTTTAGTCTCATGAGAGACTCACACTGAGCCAGCCGCAGGCTTCCAGGGCCTCCTGTAGCCCCCGGGTAGACCAGGCCTCCTCTCCTTCTCAGCTGGGGGCCATACCGCTGGCTGCACACTTCTGACCACTGTTATGTGAGTCGTGGCTCTCACGGTAGATGCTCGTGAGCAGATGTTCGTGAGCCCTGGCCAACGCCCTGGGGCGCAGTCAGAAGTATGTAGAGAAAGCACAGGCCTGACATTCCAGAGCGGGGACGACAGTACCCCTCAGGATCGGTCAACATCCCCATGGCTCCCATCGGTCTGACCAACTGACCAGGATGTCTGCCTTGGAGCCTGCCCCTGGGACCTTGGGGCCCTGATGACAACACAAAACCCCTCTTCCTGCACACACCTTTGCAACAGGACACCTCAGTAAGGCCCCCACAAGTAAGGATTGCTCTGCGATTGGCAAAGAGCTGCCATCCCGTCAATCTAACCGAGGTGACACCACGCTATGTATCAGAGTAGAACTGGAGCTCCACGGGGTCTGCTGAGGCCGGTCTTCAGAAGCAGGTCACTAGGACTAGGCGTGTCTTTCGAGACAAGCTCTGGGCTGGCTTGAACCCCCAACCTTATGGTGAGCAGCGCCACCCCGGGCTTCCTGGGCAGCTGCCGATGGGCCTGCAGCTGCAATTCTGAATTCCACTTCAGATGAAAGCCAGAATGGAGTTGCCCTTCAGAATCTTGGGGCTGGCCCTTAATTAATTAACTGCTATGCTTAGAGAACGCAGGGGAGGGCCGGGAAGGATGCAGGATACGGACAGGAGTGGCACTGTACAAACACACCCCACTGAATTCCTTTCTCGTCACATCAGCACCTGAAAGGAAACCGAGGACACTTGGCAGAGGGAAGCCCACAGCAGGCTGGACAAAGGGGCTGTTGTGCGTCCATGCGTCTCCTGAAAAGTCATGGGGAAGTCCTAACCCAGTGGCTGTGAACGTGGCCCTGCTTGGAAACAGGGGGATTCTTCTGCTACATGAATGAGGTCATACAAGAGTAGGGTGGGTCTTAAACCCAATCACTTCTGATAAGTGTCTATTAAAAGAACATAACAGTCGCCCCCTCTGCTCCCGGTACGCTCCTGCTCTCCGCCTGTCGCCGCGCTGCCATGCCGTGCTCCGACGTCGCACCCGTCGGCTCTCCCAGGAAGCGGGCCTGGCCTGCGGAGGAGGGCACGTGGGGCTCCGCTTTGCCAAGCTCTCGAAGTCCGCGACAGCCCCAACCTGGGGGTCCGCACGTGCGGGCGGCGGACTACGACTTGTACAGTGCCTATGACTACACAGTCCCACCCCTGGAGAGAGCCCTGGTGAAGACGGACACTCAGATGGCTGTGCCTTCTGGGTGTTACGAAAGAGTAGCTCCACGTTCTGGCAGGGCTGCAAACCACTTCCCAGATGTAGGAGCTGGTGTCAGATGAAGGTCACAGAGAGAACGTTGGTGTCGTTCTGTTTAATTTTGGCAAAGAAAGATCTGAAGTCAGAAAGGGTGATCGAATTGCACAGCTCATTTGTGAGCGGATGTTTTACCCAGAAATAGAGGAAGTTCAGGCTTCGGATGACACTGAAAGGGGCTCAGGGGGCTTGGGCGCCACTGGGAAGAACTAAGACTTAGGCCAAGAATTGAAAATGTACCTTCTATTAGTATTGTCTATCCCTTCGTAAAATAAAGAGTTTACACACACACACACACACACACACGAGACAGGTGTCAGGGAATACCAAGGAACTCCTGGGCTACAAAGAAGGCCCCTCCCGGTAGAGCTGATGCACCAATTAGGACTTCTGGTCCCCAAACCCTGAGACCATGAATTCTTATTCTTGAAAGTTACCCTCTTGGGGTATTTTCTTTTGTTACAGTAGCACTAAGCAACTAAAGACACTAGCCAATGGGGCGAACAGAGAACTTTCTGTGGCCTCCAAAGATGTGGAGCACAGATGTGATTAGCGGGACCTCGCAGACGATCAGGAAAGTTACCCAGAGTTGAGAAAACAAAAACAATCCCTGTTTCACACCATATACAACCCTGGCTTCTCAGAAACGAAGTACTTAAGTAGGAGAAGGGGGGGAAAAAAAGGAAAGAAAAATTTAATAGCCTAGGGTTTAAAAAAAAACCAAAAACCTAAAGTCTGGAGACATAAAAGACATTAGCCAAAAAGAAGGAGATGTATTTATCTAACTTCACTAGAGGTATTATGCTCACCAACAAGGATCAGGAGAGACAGACAAGCCACACACCGGCCGAGACACACGCGTATAGCTCAGGACACAGAAATCCCTTGAATATGCCAACAAGGAAACCACGATGAGCCAAAGTGTGGACAGGCCTTCAACGACGATAAATCTGTAAAGAGGCTCCACCGTGTGAGTGGTGTAAGAGCCACGCACGGGTCAAGACCACACGGCATGCTTTTACGCTTGAAGGAGCAGCACCAATGGACCTCTGTCAAGGACGCAGCGTGACCGGAGGCCATTCATCGTCCTGGAAGGGTCTGTAGCCATGCAAGAAGTTTTTGTAAGGAGAAGCATTTGCTTCCCCTGGGCCCTGGCCACTCCATTGCTCCTCCTCACGGTCCAAGAGAAGCTCTCCCATGTGAGTTTGAGGGACGTTCCAGATTTCCAAAAAGACCCGAAGGCCCACAGACGAGGTGAGCCGTGGAGAGACATCAGTCAGCTGCACCACCAGCTTCAAACACTCAGGATAGGGACGTTTAGGAAACACCCCACAGCAAATCCCAGGATGTTCTGAACATGACGTCATGCTGATAAAACTAACAGGGAAGCTGCCTGTTACTTGAAAATACATACGCAGGTGATGATGCTCCTCTCTGTTTTAGGCTTTTGTTACTGAT